TGCGTCTGTCTCCGCTGGCCATGCCACCCGTGCCAGCGGCTTTGAAGATCACGTAGGGATTCCCCGTGTGAAGGGTGAATTCCCAGCTGGCACCATACCCACCTCCGGTGTTCCTTGGCACCCGCAGAGCCCGTGAAACAGTTGCTTTGAATGGGGACTCAACATTTAAAGTCGAGTTAGAAGTGGTGCTGCCGGAGCGTCCCTGCTGGCCACTCATGGGGGTCCCAGGGATCCCTGGTGGGAAGGGGATGCAGGACTGGCTTTGACTGTCAGTTGTGCACCTGAACAGGCTCCCTGGGAAGGGCAGAGGGATGTCTGGAGTCCATGAAATCCTTACCAAATCCTTACCAAATCCTTACCAAACCCTTACCAAAGCAAGGTGCTGCTTGGTGGCACGGAGCAGGGATGATGCTTGTGCAGGAGCAAGCTGCCTTCCGCAGTGTTTGTGATTCTGCAGCAACGTGGATGACCCACCACATCCACAGAGAGAATCACAGCAATAAAAAGGGAAATTATACTATCCCGCCACTCACAGCCAGCTTGCTCATATATTCCCTGCTGCCCACGAGTGTCCGTGGATGGAGCAGGCAGGGGTTGGGGAGTGGTCTAGGTCAGCTGGGGGGCGTGGTGCCGGCTCCAACTCATCTCCTTCTCCCTTCTCCCAGGAGTGCACCGTCCTTCGCAGACCTCAGACATCCCCGGTTTCTACCCCCTCCCTCCCGGTGGAGTCGGACAGATCACGCCGTCGATGGGATGGTGAGTGTGGAGGGCTCGGCCCCGCGCAGCCCCCAGCCCACCGGCCGCCCCGTACCGGGGACGGTTTATTGAACAAACCGCGTGCGGCCGTTCTGCGTAACCTCCACGGTGCTTTCGCCCCGGCTGCATCCCTCCTGCGTGCTGTGTGATGGGGAGGAGGATTTAGCCTCGTTTTAGAGATGGGGAGCGGATCTGCGGAGAGGCCGAAGGCTTTGTCTTGGCTGGGGCATCCCTGGAGCGGGGTTACAAACGGCTCAATTCTGCCTTACCTCTAGCTGCCTGTGTGGGTTAGGAAACCCAGGGAGAGCATCCTACCCACCTCAACCTAATCACAACAAAAGTTTCTCTCCTGGAGATGGAGGTAATTTTCTCCCTCGCTGGGGTTTTCAGCACAAGCAGTGCTTTCCCCGAGCGTGCTGCCGGCGTGGTGTCATCCAGCGGGATGCTCCATCCGCTGGGCCATGGTGCCTCTGAGAGTCTGACACGCAGGGAAAAAATACGTGGTGGCAGAGACCTG